AATAACTTATTAACAATATTTTCTAATTCTACAAAAAGTTACTAGTTTCCATTTGTTATTAAACCCTGTCTGCCCAGGTGCCAAAGTGTATTCCAGGGTTCAAGCCATAAGTGGTTATATTGTATTCTGCAGTGGACTACTGCTAGATACTGGTAATTATTATAAATAAATTAACCCCAAAACAAAATATATATACTAATAATAATTAAAATTTATTAATTTAGTTTTTATAATCTATATATACTGATTATAAGTTTAGTTTTAATACAAAAATATTTTAATCTATTTGCATGAATAGTTTGTTTATTTTTCCTTTTGAATTGGTGTATAATTTACATCTGTTTTTTTTATAATGGTATATGGACCAATCCATAAGGCGGAAAGTTTTTTACTTCTGCCACGTCGAACTGATTCGTCGTAAAGTAACACTTTGTCACCAATTTCGAATATTCTGGTATAACTGTTTTTATCGTAATTATTTTTTGATATGTTTTTACATTTTAATAAGTTTTCTTTAGCTAATTGATTAGAATGTTGCATTTTTTGTTTAAGATTGTTTATGAAATCATCATAAGTATAATTGACTTTAGGTGGTTGTTTAACTGATGTTGGTAATGTAGGAATATGTCCGAATAAAAGTTCAAATGGAGAAAATTGTGTAGCAGTGTGAGGTGTAGTATTATATGTAAATGTTGCATAGGGAATCCAATTATCCCAGTCTGTTTGAGATGTCTTAATGAAGTGTCTTAAATATTCTTCTAGAACTTTATGAGAGCGTTCTAGTGCTCCGTTTGACTCTGGGTGATAACTTGTTGTTTGGATCTTTTTTATCTTTAAAAACTTGCAAGTACTTTTAAAAATATCACTTAAAAAATTTGACCCCTGATCTGTGACTAGCATGTCAGGTATTCCGTAAATGCATATAATATTCGTTACAAAATGATGCGCTACAGTTACAGCTTCTTGATTTCTCATAGGTATATTAATTATATATTTTGTTAAATCATCCTGAAAGGTTAATATGTATTTGTGACCATTTTCGGTTTCTGGTAGTGGTCCAACTATATCTAAAAAACATTTTTCGAACGGTTTTGATGCCGTGGTCGTAATTACCATAGGCATTTTTGTTTTTCGAGACTGTTTATTTTTTTGACAAAGTTCACATTTTTTTATAAACTCTTTTATGTCTTTTTTCATACCTTTCCATGTATATAATTGAGATAATTTTTTATATGTGCGGGATGACCCTTGATGACCTCCTAATGGACAATTGTGATTTTCATTTAATAATACAACTTTTTCAGCATCTGAGGGGTTGATAAGACTGTTGTTAAATATTGTAATTTCTGAATAGAGGTCTTTAAAAATATATCTTATCATAGGAAGAACGATTTCCCATTTGACTAATGAGTTGTAATGATATTTTATAAATGATAGTTCGGTTTTTTCGTTGGATATAATATTTCGTAAAGTTAGTAAGCAAGACCAAATATTTTCATAATTAATATCACTGAATGTATTTTCGTTGTCTGTTAATAGAAATATATTACAATTATTTTGTTGATACTGAAAAACTGACGGCATGTCTAAAGGATTTGTGTTATCGTAATGTTCTAAAAATGTATTAATTTGTTTATTTTTTTCTAGAATTTTAAAGTCGTTTTTGTTGAATAATTTTGGCAAAAATAAAACTATAGGTATAAGTTGTGGTGTTTCAAACAGATTTGTGTTTTTTTCTTTGACTTTGGAATTAATAATTATATGGCTTTCGAGATGTGTTTTAAAATTATCATAATTGGTAATAATAGAATTGACATTTGTTGTGCTAACTATTCTACTCAATGCATCAGCATTTGTATTAATCTTTCCAGCTTTATAAATTATTTCATAGTCATATTCTTCAAGTTTTATTCTAAAACGCGTCAAACGAGAACCAGGGTCTTTGATATTAAATATATAGAGTAGGGGTTTGTGATCTGTAACAATTTTAAATCTTGTGCCAAAAATATATGGACGGAAATGTTTTACTGCCCAGACGATTGCAGTTAGCTCTTTTTCTGAAGTTGAATAATTTTGTTCTGCTTTATTTAGAGTTCTACTAGCAAACGCTATTGGACGATCATGATTAACCTTACCCTGCGATAAAATTGCTCCTACTGCGAAATTACTCGCATCTGTTGTTATAATAAATTCTTTGGTAAAATCTGGGTATTGGAGAACAGGTGGAAAAGTTATACTATCTTTAAGAATTTGGAAAGAATTTTCGCATTTTATACCCCAATTAAAAACAGAATCTTTTTTTAATAATTCGGTTAAAGGTTTAGCAATTTTAGCGAAATTTTTGATAAATTTCCTATAATATCCTACAAGCCCTAAAAAAGATTTTATATCTTTAGGATTTTTAGGTTGCGGAAAGTTTGTTACACATTGAATTTTTGATGGATCTGGTTTAATGCCGTTTTCTGTAATAATGTGACCTAAGTATAAACATTCTTTTCGTAAAAACTGACACTTCGAAGGTTGAAGTTTTAAATTATGTTGTCTAAATCTTTGAAAAACTTCAATTAATCTATCGTTATGTTCATTTAAGTTGTTTGCATAAATTACTATATCATCTAAATAAATAAAGCATTTCATACCATTAAGACCGCTTAAAACTGTGTTCATGAGTCTTTGAAATGTGGCGGGAGCTCCTTTTAAACCGAAAGGCATTCTGTTATAAACGTAATGTCCTGTATTAGTGCTAAAAGCGGTTTTATTTTTATCTTTTTCGTCCATTTCTACCTGATGAAATCCACTAGTAAGATCTAAGGTAGTAAAATAATGAGATTTTCCTAACTGGTCTAAAATTTCTGCTATATTAGGTAGAGGATATGCGTTTCCAATGGTAATTTCATTTAACTTTCGAAAATCAACGCATACTCTAAATTTAGGTGATAATGGGTCGCTTTTCTTAGGAACAACTAGTAAAGGACTATTCCAAGGACTGTCCGAAGCGGAAATTACCCCGTCTTTTAACATTTGCTCAGTTTGTTCATTAATTATTTCTTTATGTTTGAAAGGCAATCTATAAGGTTTTACGTTAATAGGACCTTTATTACTTTCTGTCGGTATAGTGTGTTTTATTGTGTTGGTGCTTGTTAGTTTATCGCCTTCTAAGTAAAAAATATCGTTAAAATCTCTACAAATATCTAATACTGAATTAGTTTCTTCTTCATTTAATTGGTCTAGATTAATTTCTTTTCTTATTTTAGCAAAACGATCGATAATGTCATAATTATATGTTTCTATAAATTCGTACTCATTAAAAGAAATAGGTTCGACATTCACTCTAGGTGTATGGATAGTTTGAGCTTCATTAGAAATATTTAATATGCTAACTAAACATTTATAGTTCTGGACTTTTGTTAGGCTTGACCCTAGATATAAATGTTCGGATAATTGTTTTGAAACTACTATGCCTTCGGACGAAGATAAATTAGCTAGAGCAGGTACAATAATTTGACATCTCGCGGGAATTATTGTAGTTGCTTCTGACGGCAAAATTTTAAAAAAATTGTCTTCAAAATTAATGACTCCGTCTTCGTAATTTATTTTGGCTTTATACTTTTGCAAAAAATCGCGTCCTAATAGTCCATCACTTTTAATCGGTATACTATCTGGCACAATGTGAAAAGGATGAGTTATTGCTTTGTTATTGTTTAATTTAATTGGGATGTTACAAACACCTTTAGTAAATACAGGTTCTTTACTTATACCTTTTAATTCTATAATGCAAGTTTTATTTAATTTTAGATTATTTTGTAATAAGATACATTCTTTCAATAAAGATATATCTGCCCCTGTATCTAATAAAAGATGTAATTCTTTATCTTTTATATCTAAAGAAGGGATTTTAATTATCTCTAATTGTTGGTAACTATCGGAAAATAATACTGATTTATGCGGTATGTCAATTAAGTTTTGCTCAATTTTAATTTTATTTTTATGCTCAGGTAGTGTGTAATTCATAGAACAGCTATTATCTAATTTTAAGAAGCGCTTAATCGGCTGCTCGCGACCAAGGCTTCGCTCTCGTTTCCCGAAAAATTTTGAGATGTGCTCGGTTCTGAAAAATAATTATCTGCTGAATTGATTAACGACTGAGAATTTATAGTTTGAATTTGTTGTGGTGATCTATTATTTGAACTATTAAAATTGGTAGTACTGGATTCATTATTGTAATTAGAAAAATTTTGAGATTGTTGAGGTATCGAAACATTTTGCTGCCGTTGAGGAACTTGTGAGTTATTAAAATTTCTTGGATTCTGAGAATATCTATTATTGTAATTTGAACGAGGATTATTACTGTTATAATTGTTACCATAATTACGATTATAATTACGCACGTCGTTGTTCTGATTAAAATTTTGATTGTTGTAGTTTCGATTAGTGAAACGTCCTTGATTATATTGTACTGTATTTACGTCTTGTCTATTTGAAAAATTATTATTGCTATTAAAATTTTGCGGTGGGCGTGTCTGATTATTGCTAGGTACATTTCTATTATATGAGTTACTATTTTGTTCGTATTGCCTAAGCTGTCTACACTGTGATGTTAAATGATTATTTTTAAAACAAAATAAACAGGAATTATTAGAAGAATGATTATTTAATTGTCTATTTCCACGCTCTACAAAACCTATATTTTTAAAATGCGAGTTTTTAAACCTGTCATTATTCTCAAGTTCCATTTCAATTGCTAATGATAAAGCTTTATCTAAATATGTAGTATTTTCGGCAATAATACGCATTTGAATTTTTTCATCGTTGAGTCCTTTTCTAAAAGTATTGACTAAAATGGAGTTTAAATTTTCTATTAAAACAGTAGCTTCGTTATTTGCATAATTTAAGTGACACGTTTCTTTATATTTATTAAAGAGAATTTGTAATCTATCGCCATATTCTTTTACAGTTTCCCTAAAATGTTGCTTCTTTATATTCATTATTTGTGTTAGAAAATGCGTGGGATGGTGGTAAGTTTCATCAGTAAAGTGCTCTACTAAGAAATTCCTTTTAGTTCTTCCCCTAATTTTGAAACTGTTTATATTGTGTTACCTCTTGTACCTCTTTAATTTAGTACCAAAAAAATTAAATCTACTAGTAATTTTTTTGATCCACTTGACAATTTTAATATTGAATCACAATTTTTAAGAAAAATTGGAGTGAATTTTGCGTCACCCTGACCATCAAATGAATTTATTAAATTCAGAACATCAGTTGCGTCTTTACCTCCTGCCATTATTATATTTTATTAATGATTTATTACTTTAGTTTAAGAATTATTATTTATTTTTATAGATGTATTTTTAGTTTGAAGAGAAAAAATATTACGAATTTTAAGCAATATTTTTTTTTTTTTTTGTTATTTGCAGCCCAGAATTATTATTGTCTTAATCTTAAATCTAACTAACTAAAAATCAGAAGAAAAAACAGGCGTCACAATACAGTAAACAAATGAAAGACTTACCGTCATCATCTGGTGCAGTAAAGCTTCCCTGAGACTTGCTGCTGCGTCTGGCGCTCCCTTCAGTGTCCCCTAATGTCTACGTCTCGGTGTCGGGCTTCTGCCGCTTCTGCGCCTGGAACTGCCCGTTGCTCTATCTTCTTCCAAAAACTGGTAGGTTTTCTGCTGCGTCTGGCGCAACCTTCAGGAAAAAACCTTGGTAGTTTTTACCGCTGCCACCATCAAATGTGATCCTGGATTGGACCAACTGTCGTCACCAATTCAGTCGCCACCAAAATGTTGTAGTTCTCTATTTGACTCGTGACCAATTTGTTGGGAATGTTATTTCTTATTTTTTATAATTAAATTCTACTAAGTTGTTATTACTTTTTATTTTTAAACCTTTTTAATACAAAAACATAAATTTAGCAGTATTACGTCTATGAAATTTTATGAATGTCCTCGGTCCCTTCAGACTGTAAGCTATGAGAATGCCCTCCGTGTAAATCCACGCGTACTCTACTATTTCTTAATAATATTTTCAGGTAGTCAAAGGGACAAACATGACCATTTCTATATTAGAAACCAGACATCGCCCGAAAGTAAACGAATTACAAAGGAAAACTAAAAAAATGATGCAACTATTTATGACTATTTCTTCCAAATTTCATCTTAAGGTAATTTGCCTCAGTTTTGTTTGCATCACCCATCTTTCTTGAGAAGAATAATGAATGTTGATGGTATTTTTTCTACCTTAAATTCTTTAGGCTAGCCGTAGAATAAGGGTAAAAATAATATTTTATACAATTTGTCGAATATACATATACATATAACCATATTAAATGTATGTTCACAACACCTGTCAATATATGCAAAATACGACCAATGGGTTTTGACTGCTCCCCGCCGCGTAAAAATCGAAAAGAAACCAAACAAAACTGCCGCCGTTATACAATAACGGCGTAAATTAATTAACGAAATTTAGGTTATAATAAATATGTCGGCTTGCCTTAATACGAAATAAATATCGTTCAAAAGCGTACCCACGGGGGGCCAAAGATCTGGTCGTCGGTGGCCCCTCGCCTTGTCCCTCTATGTGACGTACGCAACGGTCGATTAGAGATGTTGTTACTTAGAAAAGATCGATATTTAAAAAACATACATCGATATATGGTTTTGACAGACTCAAAAAATATCGATAAACATAATTATATTACATACAGTGTGGCGCCTGTCATACGACGAGTTTATATCAAAATGAAATTTTGGGAGGATAGCTAAGTTAATTGAAGTTACATAATAAAAGTTACACATCGAAGTTGTGCTTTTTGTAATGAATCACCCTATATATTAATTGATTTTTGGATTCTAGAAAAAAACTAAAGGTGAGTTTTATTAAAGAAACATATGCCTAAAATGTAAGAATTTTGGCATGTTTCAGATTTCGTGAAAATGAAGAGTAAATTTTAACGTTCAATAACAGCTACCTACATTTTAATTTATCCTTTATAGCTGGATATTTAATTACAATAACCATTGTAGGTTAAACCAAGACAAAATTAATATGTAACATCCAGTATATTATTTCGGGGTTCTATGGGGAATTCATATAACTTCAAAATATTATTAAGGTTGCCTACCCCTCAGTCAGATTTTCCTAGATATTTAAATTTTTATGATTTTGCGTCAGTAGATCTTTGTTTTTTGAAAAAATCTAGGTGGCTGTGATATACCTTTTGTTAATTTAACAAAAACTTAAGAATGTAGAGTAAAATACTCAACGGTAATAAAAATATACACGTTTAAGTAGATGGAGATGGCCGATTCTGCGCCAGGCGGAGCCGGAAGTGTCGTCATGAGCTAAGAACATGTAAAATACATTAATAAACACGAATAAACAGGTTTAAACAGCCGCTTTAAAACAGAAATAAACGGGTTTGAACAAAAAATGAACAGGTCTGTTGTTTAAAGCTAAAAAGCGATTCAAAGCAGTTCAAAACGGTTCGAACCTGTTTATTCTTGTTTATTAGTGTATTTTACATGTCTTTACTTCCGGCTCCGCAGCTCCGTCTGGCACAGAATAAGCCATCTCCCTCTACTGTTCTTTATTTTTAGAAAATATTATGTCAAAAACCTTATATTTTAGTCATATACTTCTCTAATAAAACTCACATTTGATTTTCTCCTAGAATCCGAAAATCAATAATTAATACATAGGATGTTCCATTACAAAAAACACAACTTTGATATGTAACTTTTTTGGGGGACACCCTGTAGAACTCTCTACATTTTAAAAAATGTTCTGAATTAACCTACAAATGCTCACAAAATTTTATTTCAATGCAAACTGTTGTTCTCCTTGGAGCCTCCAATGCACGGTTTTTCGCCACGCTTCGCATAAGTGCATGGCAAGCCTTCTGCCTTAGAACGCTTGCATACACACCGGCAAAATCGGTGCCGGTGCCGGTTCTGAAATCGATTAGAATATAAATAAATTAGCTCCTTCACATATACACCGATCTGAAAAAATAGTCGTGTACCGGCAAATGCAATAGAATTAAATACAACTGTCGGAACGTGTGCAGAGCCGGGGCGCCGGCACCGGCACCGATTTTTCGCCGCGCCGGGAGTAAAAGCGCTCTTATCGTTTTCTTTTAATTTTAGAATGAGAGGATCAGCTTAAATATGGAGGTGATTCAATATTCTTAAAAGTTTTATTTCTTCCAACTTTCACCAACGAGCTCCCTATTGCACAGTAGAATTACTTTTACTGACGGTTAGTAAATGTTTTTTTGGTAAAAAAGTTTATCAATAACTATCGACACGTCCTCAAGTAAAATATCGATATTTTATCATATCGATACATCCCAACATCTCTACTGTGTAATTTATGCCTTTGGTTTTTGGATATTGTCCTGGCGCGAGCTGCGGCCGCTTTTTTTCGTCTTTCTTCGATAATAATTACCCCCTAAGGATCGGGTTAGAATTTTTATTAATCGGACGACCCGTGGCTTTATTATAATGAAGATAACGTATATGTTTGGACGGATACAGCGTTTAATTTTGATTTTGTATGGTACATATCGATTTGATTTCCTATAAAACATGTTACTGATGGCTGTATTTTGAATATCGAATATTGTTTTAATTCAGAAATTAGTTTGGGAACCTTTGCTGGAATTCGTGGAATCAGAGAACGCATTTAACAAAACGGAGATGCTACATAATATATTGACGATTGTATAAACACCCGGCAAGAACAAACAGTATAGTCCAAGTTAAGCTCCGTCTACACATCGTTTTACCTGTCAATTTTGTGTGTCAGGTAAAACGGAAGACCGTCGAGAAAACTGACGACAGTTCTCAAGATGGCCATCAGTCTTAGCTCCATCTACACATAACATACATGTCTAAGTTATAGCATAATCTTTAATTGCAATATCAAAATTGTAGGTTTTGCATTATAAATTTCTTAAATAATTTTTTTAAGTTTTGAAAAAAATAGTCTACTCTTTAAAATAAAATATGAAAAAAGTCATGTCTAAATACAATCCAATTTTAGATACTAGAACCGCATACTACGAAAGCACAAATTACCTATAACAGATGCGAAAGAACACCAAATTACGCGTTCGGGTTTCTGTGACCTTCAGAAAAAGTTCATAGACAATCCGCAACAATGTATAGTTTGGGTTATTATTTATTTGGGTGAAAATAATCTGCACCAATATGTTATCGATGCATATAATCTCACAGTAATTTAATAGATTGCTCGTCATATTACATCAGTTCGTAGGAGATTAGGAAAAAAAAGATATTTATAGCATAAAAAAATAATTTTTTTAACAAAATTTAATTAAAGATGTGACAAAATAGTTACTTTTCTATTGGTTCTATCGGACTTTTTTGACTATATAAATCTTTATTTGTAAACTTTAATGCATAAAATACTATTTTCAATCTAATAAATAATTTAATGATGTAAATAAGAGGAAATTTCTCACATGGGTGGTAAAATTCTATAGTTTTCATTATATCAAACAGCCTCTGAATGTTTTCTTCAGTGCGAAACTCGTCAAAATTTAATATAAATAATTTTTCCAGCCTGTAAATAAAATGAACAAATTTTTCCACTTTCATGATCAAAGGCTTTTAAATGGGTAAATAATTTCGAGTTATCCAGAGATTCGGATTCTTTTGCAAATTTTAGTCAAATATCACATTGATGTATTTGAAGACCCTTTTTAATGATGTAGTCAAACATAATTAAAGGCATTTTGAGTTGAAAACATTTCTCAGAGGCTGTTTGATATAATGAAGACTATAGAATTTGACCATCCATGTGAGAAATTTCCTCTTATTTACATCATTAAATGATTTATTAGATTGAAAATAATTGATGTATTAAAGTTTACAAATAAAGATTTATATAGTCGAAAAAAGTCCGATAGAACGGATAGAACCAATAGAAAGGTAACTATTTTGTCACATTTTTAATTAAATTTTGTTATATAAATTAATTTTTTATAC